CAAAAGCAACAGTGAGGATGACAAATTATATTTAGTTCTCTACCTTCATTGTCTTAATTTCTTTTTCCTCTGATCGTAAGAATAACTTGTGATTAACGACAACAATAATAACTTGCTATCAATAATAATAACATTTCAAGGAATAGAAAAGTGTTGTAAGTATCAGAAAAGCCGCAAACTTCTTTGCCTAAAGGCATTATTAAATTTAAGCAACAACGACAGTGAGGATGACAGAGTATATTTACTTGTTTGTCTTCACTGACTTTTTTTGTCCTTCATGAAAATCTCAAATGAGATTTTTTTATCACGAAGAGAGTTTGGACTATTGTTTCCTGGACATGTTATTTGACTTTGTTTCGAGATCATGTCCCTCGACTTCCCCAAGTGACTGAAACATGCCATCCAGGGTTTCTCAGTTGCAGTAAAACCTACCCAAGTTTTCATGATTTTCATCAGCAATGCAGATACATCCACTGGGAGGCTTCTTTAAGTATAGGAAATCGTATGAACGCGAGTGCATTTCGTGATTTATGGGCACGAGTGATGTTTTGAAAGTTCTCAAAATTGCACGAGCCGTAGGCGAGTGCAATTTGAGAACTTTTAAAACATCACGAGTGACCATAAATCACGAAATGCACGAGCAGGTTCATACGATTTTTTATTTATTATATTCTCGACAAAATTACTCCATCGCGCTACTCTGCACGTTGAGTTGTTCGTGCTCGTATTCTTCCATTTGTGGGTTTACTTTTCGTTGAGTCGCCCATGTTTGCCAGACATTTAACCAGGTCTGTGTAGCTTTCAACGTGTTTTTGTTTTTCGCATTTTCTTTAAGTTGCTCAACGATGTTTTGGTTTGACAAAGCAAACCGGCTGTCAGCCATTTTTTTTATAATTTGGTGTTCAAATTTGGCGCTTCCCCGGTGTTTCCATGGCAACTTCTCCGTATTGCACTCTATAACTTCTATTGCACTCTATAACCTATTTATGCATTCATCATTGACCAATCAGAAACGCGATATTTTGTTGAGTATATAATAAGTCTACTTATTTTGAAGGAGGTACACTGTATATAGGGGTGTCTTCATTCGTCTGGTCACCATAATTATCAGTATCGTCAGAGTTTGTCATCAAGTCCTCCGCTTGTGTCTCGTGTTGAGATTCATTCGACATTGCATTTCCTTGTGACTGAGAAATGAACGAGCGAAGCTTACTAGCAATGAAGTACAAATTGGACTTAATGAACTTCGTAACGTTGTCTATAGATGAAATAATGTGACTGCATTCATTTATGAAAAAGGCTTTATTTCGTATTTTGATAGCGGTTTTTATAGCAATTAAAAGCAGCGACCGTCAAGTCTGATCGAATTGGGAGCTCTATAAAGGTTTTAGTGTGACTGCCGCTATGATGGATGTTTGCGCTGTATGCTTTAGGGCTCAGGTATTTAAAGTATAATGAAGCAATTGTTACTCACCCAAAAGGACGGCAAAATAGCTGGAAGCAGAACTCCATGAAAAAATGGCTGCCATGAGAGAACGTGGATCCAGCATGCTCTGCGAGCCAGACAAAATTTTATTTCCGCCTACGCCAATTTGATTTCCGTCTACGCAGTTAAATGTCCACAAATCTGGCCCCCTATAATAACTCATTCACTGCGCGGCGCGCATATGAATGAGTTAAGAAACTGAACTCGGATTTTACTCGCCTTTCAGTGGATGATACTCATTACATCAATAACTCTCTAAAAATCGAAAAATAAATTCCTTTCTTACAGTTAGGGTTAGTTTTTAACTCTCGAATAATAGTTGTTGAAAAACTGACGGCCCAAAGTTTAATATTTGCCGTTTGTCTTAAACCTAATTCTTAACCTTTCTACAATGTTAATTATTATAATTAGGATTCATTGAAATTGATATGTGTCATAAAAAACGGTTTGTAAGGTTCAAGTGAAAAGAGTCTCACATCCATAAGAAGTTGATACCCTCAATAACAAAGATAAACGGAAGGACATAAAGATTACCTTTAAACAATTCGTCCAAGACCCTCGTATTCTTCACAGGCTAATAATAGGATATCGTAATAGGGAGGTGGGGTAGGGTTTGGAATGCTTTGACTGGGCTTGGTATCCTTAAAAAAGACAAAATCTTATTGACAAATAACTCCCCTCAGTATACTCGCCTCTTTATCACCTAAAGAAAAAATTTTCCTCATGGGTTTATTGATTCCATTCCAGTCGAATGGCGCGCCTTTGCTAAGATTTGCACCGATGTGTCATTGATCGATGATATTCCAAGCACTCCCAAAATTGAAATGGGCGACGGGAACTTAGTTCCAAATTTGACTTCTCATCTAAACAAGTCTCTACCATATTTCTGGGAAAGAAGCAAATTCCACTAACCGCAAAAGGGAACTATCTACCATTTCACACTGGATTCAAGACTAGGGAGTTCCAATACAAAACTTTGAATTGCATTGTTTTTACAAATGAAACACCTTATCGCTGTGGCTTAAATACTTCCCCTAGCTACACCCTCTGTCAGGAGGCAGCGAAATCCATTGAGCAGTGGCTTTTTTCTTGTCACATATTAGCTAAATTTCGGAAACATGTCTTATCCTGGCTTAAAGATAACTTTCTCAGTGTTGATACGTTGAAGGAATGTAATGTGATTTTTAGGAGACTCGATATTAAAGAAGGTTTAATTTTAATCAGTTATATCTTATTTCCAGGGAAATACTAAATGTACTCTAAAAAGTACTGTCTACAGTTAGATATAGCTCTTTGGCATACAAAGCTTTGCTTTCATGTCCAAATTGAGCACTCTACTAGGATGAGTCATTACTGCTAGCATTATGCATGCTCACTAGTTTTTCTAGTTTGAGCACTCTGGCATGGCTTAGATGATCCCACATGTGTGAGATCACTTGGGGTGGCTATATGGCCTTACCTCCATCCTAGCATCAGCACTGCACTGATGAGGCCCAGAAGGCCGAACCAGTACTGTCTGCAGGTAGATATATATATATGTATATAAATATATATATATATATATATATATATATATATATATGTAATTTTAACAGCTTCATATCCAATCCAATTAACGTGTCGTTCATTTTCTATGTTGTCTTGTTAACCTAATTTATTTATTTCAGTTATCATCTTAGCCTTTTTTATTGTAAACAATGTAGTGTAAGTGGTTTATTGTGAGAAATTCATTTATCAGATAATTCATTTATATAATATATAAAATCATGTAGTCGTAACTTTAATTACAAAAGTGTTGTTAAAAAAAACCAGTAAATAAGAATAAAAATAAAAATGGGGAGGTAGGAGGGGGAGGAAGAATGGAGTCTATTGTTTCTTCCAGGCCCTTTTATTGGCGACGGGTCATCACAAATGCTGGTAAACTAGGACAGAACATTCAACAGAACACAAACATTAAGTTCCAACTTAGATGTTGCTTCAGATAAAATATAGAAAACGTTTTCCTTCTTCTTTAGTGAATTTTATATCCTCACTGGTTGGAAATCTCGTCAAGGAGTTGTTTATAAAACAAGAATCTAGTCATCAACTCTTTTGTATTATAAAAATGGCCATATTTGATTTGTTGTTTCCAACGTGTTCTTCCCTCTGCATAATGTACGGGCTTCATTTAAAACTTGGAGATTCAGCTGTTTTTTTGTCCGAAAATCATCACATTTTGAACCGCAATAACTACTGAACTAACTTGAAATGAAGATTTGTTCGAACTACCTATTTCCTTTCGGTTTGTTTTGACCGACATTTCCTCCACTTGAGGAAAGGAGAAATCTTCTCTGATAGGTTCAGTCGAGAACTTGGAGTTTCTATCCAGGGACAATTGGCCTACGTAATACTGCAAATGGTTTTAACATATTTTTTTCTTGGATAATCTACTTGTACTTGGGATGATAACCGCTTGTTGTGATAATGGAAATGGGGAAAAAAAGGGTCAAAAGTGAGAGGAAGCTTTTTTCCTAAAGGAGCTAATACGGTGATGATTGGCTACTACTGAACAGTTGGTTAGCAGTGAAGGGGGTAAGTTTCTAAAGAAACTGTGGCGCTGCGTCGGTGGGTGAATATAAAAAGGTAATCTGATATTATCAACTGAGCTGATAACGTAAATTTGGCCACCGTTAAGAGTTTCAAAGCTGACGTTTCGAGCGTTAGCCCTTCGTCAGATCCGACGAATAAAAACAAGAATACCAAATTACCTTAGAAGGTAAACAAGCCGAGCAAAGGATAGCAGGTGGATAAATACCCGGATTTCTCGACTAAGATTTGCCGTGAACTTGTCAGACTATTTCGGAGCCAACAAAATGCAAGCTTTATCTATATTTCATTCAAAATGGAGTATATATATATATATATATATATATATATACATACATATATATTTGGAAGCGAATCATAGAGAGAAGTGCAAAATAGAGGGTGCGGTCTAACACAGAATAGGTTTAGAACGTCAAGCCTTACAGCAAAAGACCATGAGAGCAACCGCCCTTAAATACATTTACAGCGAGATTTCGCCTCTCGAATATTCAGCCGAGCATACCTCAAGAGCTCGTTAACAAATTTCTGTCCAAAGTAAAGCTCTCATCGAGGAAAGCGTTTAAAAACATAATTTTTTTAAACCGAGGACACGTCAAGAGCTCGCTTACAAATTTCTGTCCAAAGTAAAGCCCTTATCGAGGAAAACCGTTTAACAACATAACGACCTTAAATATATGTAGGTTTTGCCTTTTGTCACTACCTACAACTCAGCTCCACATAAACTTGATAGGTTCTTGAGAAACTCCGGTAACGTATCTGAGACAAAGCAAACCTTGTTGAAATATTTCTAGAGGTAGAAACAGATTGCCGCTTATGGAAAGGTCAAACCGCTTAAAACCTTTCTTTCCAAAGCGAAAATATATTTACTCCCAAGGAAGACATAAAATGGAGTTATCCAACGTAAGGTCTATTATAATATTTAGGAATATTACTCATAAACACCGTACGAAGATCCATTTAACTCTAATGAAAACTCATAAACTTGTATACGGCTTCTAAGGCTCCGGAAAGAGCTCCTGTCGCTAACATTTCTGTTACAACCTGTAAGGTCAGCTGATGCATCCAGAGGTTTTAAATTCGTGGCAAACTTGGAAAAATCTACATTGTCAAGTGCTAGTGTTTCCATAATGGGTATTGTTAAATTTGGCAGGCGTATTTCCATTCCTGTTTGGGCGCAAGGCAATGGCTCGCTCCCTGGAAACGCTCCATTTTTGAGGACATCATCTACGAATGACAATTTTCAAAAACTCAAAAGGGTAGTGGTTTCAGCTGGCCAATGTTTTAAAAAGCTGGTAAGCTGATTCAGTTAGAGTAAAGGTTACTCTCTCATTGGTAGGTAGTTAGGGGTTTTAGAAAATCGCTCTTCGAATTTTGCGCATTTTCATGTGCGAAGGGACAGGCCTTCTACTTCTCAAATCTCCCTTATCATTTTTGCAAATTGAAGATAAATCTTTGATCTTCCAAAACCCGTTGTAGAAGTTGAGATTTGGCCATCAGAAACTCAGAAAAGCGGGTTCTACAAAGCCCGGCAGGCCGATTTTGGCCGTATTTCCTTAATTTTGACCGAGATCGCTCTGACAATTGCCGCCTCATCAGTTTTGAATAATTAGTGATGTCGACACATTCAGCGTGATGATATATTCAATTATAGCCAACTAAACGTTAAGCTCAAGAAAAATTTGACCAGACCAGATCTGCCATGTTTATCACAAAAGAGTTGAGGAGATTACTCTTTCGATGATAATATTTCCAACTAGGAACACAACAATTTCATTGAAGCAGAAAGAAAAGGTTTTCCCGATTTTATCGCCGTTGAAATTTAACTCAACTCAGCGAGAGCGTCCATGTGAGCAAGTGTGAGAGTAACAATTAGGTAAGGAACCATTTTGAAAGCCTATTTGACGACAGACTTTTTTGCAGACGTGTGGCTCTCCTATGAGATGATGGGACGGTGGGGGAAGGGATGGATTTTTCTCTCAAATGCATGAGAAGAATTGTTCTAGAATCAATCTTTATTTCCTATAAATGCGAACTGATCGTTCCAATTTTTTTACAGCCATTGATGTAAGGATTAACACATGAAAAGTGAGCAAATCGGGGTTGATTTTTTTGCTATTTGCCGATGCCATAAACACAATGTTAAAAAGTATTTATTCAAATTCTGCTAAATTCTGACCTAAAGGCCTCAATGCGCGTCGAAAACTTCACACATTTTTCAACTGCGCCTGCTAAAATTGCAAAGGAAGTTTAGTTATTGTTATCTACCAAACGAACATCCCCTATTCTGATCAAAATTTGTTTGGAGAAAAAAGACTTATGAAATATGAAATATGTGTTTAATCTCTTGTGAAAAAAATATGTACATATATATATTCTAAGTACGACTCTCTGAACTCTCGTCCAACCCCTTAAGCAATGTTGAAACCAACAGCAGCTTTTATGAATAAATTCGGCTTGGATTTTAACAAGATTGCAAAAGGATAAAGGCGTAATCTTGCCTACATGGTTTCAAAATATATGCTCATTTTCAGCCGTTTTGTCGTTTGTGTCCTAAAAATTTTGTCGAGAATTGAAGCTACAAGATCCGTCAAATGATCCTTCACTGGAGTATCAGTGTAATGATAAAACATATCACTTTTCTCTCTGTTGGTCAAATACGTCCATGAACTAGCGCTTGGTAATCGCTGGTCGGAATGCACACTCTTGCATATCTTTGGATTGACCATATCACAGCTCGTTGATATGTAAACATGATAATACTCGTCAAAGATAATACTTGTTTAATTACATGATTGTGAACGAAGTTTAAGCCTAAGCAGGGCTGTGCTATGGAAATGTATCGCCAGATGAATCAAACAATCCAATTTCTTAAGTGAGTTTGAAATGAAATTAAGAAAACCATTTTTCAAACTGAGACGGTTTTCTTGTAAAGCAGGCTGGACTTTGATTATATAGTATTTTTTTGTTTTCCTAGCTAGTGTAATTAGTTAAATCCCTTAAAAAGTTTTAAGTCGATGGAAACACCGTGGAAACACCGTGGAAACATGAAGTTTTACTGCTACTACCATTTCAAAGTCAAGCACTTGTCGGTTGGAAAACTAACGTAAGTTATTAATGAGAGAAAAGTTAATGCCGACTTTAATGGTCTACAGTACTAAATTACCTTCTAATGCTAACACGACTTTTCATAATAACCAACCCTATCTAACTGGCTCAGTCGGAGGAATTATAGGAATAGTTAATCATGACAAATTAGTATCACTGACTTTAGCAGCAAATCATCTGCTCCCTGTGGTAAGGGTGAGCTGATTCATCATCTCATAGGATAGAGTAAGAAAACATGAGATCGAGAGATCCTCGCGGGCTGGTAGCGTTTAGATATTTAAAGATAATCGGCGGAGAAATTCAGCCCATGTTCACATAGAAAGTCATACAGCTCACCCACTGTTCTTAAGCCGTGTCGCATGGCGATAACATCCACTACGGAGACGCTATTTAGGAGGATCATGTGGTGTGGTCTCAAATCCATTCCCCCTTTTAGACCCGAAATCCCGGAATATACCCCTAAAATAAAGAGAAAAAACATTAACCGTACTTGTGCGTCACGAAATATGACTTTCCTATATTTATTTAGATATCAACATATCTGCATTATGATTTCATTTCTAATATGAATCTGTGTGATACACTCAACATATGGAGTAGACTAAGTGTAGAAGTGCCATTCCAGACTCACTAGTGATAACAGAAGTTTTTCTGCTTTTTCAATATTTCTTATTTAAATGAGAAGACCAAGCTTTAAAGTTTTTTTGGTGATATATAGTTTTTTGTGTGTGTTCTCAAAACGCTTCGTGACTATTGTTTTCCCGGGGAACAGAAACAAAGAAGCGATACAAAGTGTAAGACTGAAAACATGCGCAAAGGGGTCCATTACATGATACGGGGTGACTCCACAAGTTTACTGGTTTAATAAAAGTGATTACGAGGGAATGTGTCTCTCAGCCGGTTGCCATTAATTCGCAAATAGAATTTCAAAGCCAGAAACACCTTCATCTTAGTAACTTGGGTCAGCTTAATCCAGGCTGGATTCGAGAACGTTGTAATCACCGTGAACGATGGTGGCCTGGAAGATGCAACTGTAGGCGTTCCTATTGGGCGACTATTTTACGTAACGTTACTTACATCCCAGAAGTCTGGTCAACTCTTTTTTAAATTTTATCGGGATCTCCTCGACGAGCATGTTATCAGATAACCGAGGACCTGAAAATAAAGAAGAATCTTCTTAGTACTACATACTGACTGTGGCTCAATGGCTTCATGCACAGACGAAGAATCATAATAAAGGCTCGACCATACGAGTGAAATTATTTCAAACTATGATTTACGGAATTCATGAGGACCCTCCCCTCCATTATCATTGTCTCTCGCTCGCAGTTTTTCGCTACGTTGTTAAGAACTTTGACTTTTGTTGACTAACTTTCTCTTTCAGCTGTTGCTGAAAGAAAAATAAACGGAATAAATTAATTACAGTATTGTTTGGTTGTTTCGAGATCATTCACTTTAGAAAAGCGACCCAGCTGGTACTTTTTTTCTTAGATAGTTAGGCGAGAAGAACCGTAGCACAGTTTTTGCGCAGCCATTTTTTTTTGTTAACATCTCGATTGTCTTTCACGCTTCACAACTGGTTCGAAACAGAGGCTACTTGTTGTCAAGGGAACAGAGGAATAGATGATGACTGTCAGGGTCACGCCAGGGAGAGAATTTTCCTTTCTATAAATGGTTCACCCACTGAGTCTAATTTTAATTCAAAAGTTTTAAGAGCAAGTTAGTGCGAAATTAGTTTAAAGGAAAGTATTTTCTGTTTTGTTTTTTTCTGGTTTACTTCAAAATACCACATGTGCCCTCTGTACTTCGTTGTATTCTTTTCAAATAGTTTACGAGTCTGTATAGTGTAATCTAACGATTTAACTTGATAACGTATATTCAAATTTAAATCCAAATAGTAACAGGAGCATTATTATGCGTCTGAACATGACATGAGTAATATCCGACCATGTCTTGCAAACTTAAAGGTGTTGTTTGTTTTATGCAAATTATTTCCTATTTGAATTTCGCGGCTCAAAAAAAATTCGATTCGATGTTAAAGACCATCTTACTATTTTGTTTTTTAAGGCATTAAGGTCATCGTTGCTCAAAAATCAAAAGATAAGTATCAAGAAGGATTTAAGAAAGTTTTGTTTAAAGACAAACCTGTTGTTCCATTTCGTGCGATTCGTCTCAATAAATCAAACACGTCCATCCTTTCTAAATCTTTGGCTTTACCTGCTAAGACACGGATAGCTATTTTTCCCCCTGCGGTTGCAGATTGGAAAAAACCTTCATCTAACTGTAAAGACCGTGCCAGTTGATGTGCAGTGGCGTCAGGACTGCTTGAGGATTTCAAAATGGGTCCTACAAAAACAACAAAAAGAAGAGCAAAGCCTGTTTTTGGATGCTATCATTATAGACTAAAACACTCCTATCAAACCTTGATTTTTATGGTTGGTCAAAAGTTGATCGAATTAAGGCTCGCTGTTTTGAGGTTCTTTACTTTAAAAAATGAATGCTAAGGAGGTCCACTGATTCTTCGGGGCAAATGGATTTAGAGGCTAAATTCAAGTTGGTTTGCAAGAAGGACAGAATTATACATCTAAAGGGCTGTTATACTGTGCCATTACAGCAAGCATTTAAGTGTTAAATAGAAAAATGGAAGTTTCTGCACAACGAAATATGAAATAAGGATCTAGCAGAAACACGTTCAACGACTCGCTGGAGTGGAGATATTAAAACTCAATGACGTGCAAGCTGACTGTTAAATGTCTTTTTGACAGAATATCAAGAAGACACACAATTACTATCATGTATGCAGCGAACCTTTTTTTGAACCGTTATGTGTTCACATCGTAAATTCTACAACATCACTCACCCTTGCGCAGACAGAGACTCCTCATTTATAAATGCTCTAGTATGGTCATAACCCTACGCATGTCTATCCTAAGAAAGTGGCCTTTGCATTATATATGAGTTTTACATGGTATATAGCTCAAAGGCACTCAGCTCTACTAAGCTACCAACTCATTCATTTCTGTGGGACCTACCTGCATTCATTTCTATCACTTTCAAGGTTTCTAAAGTGCTATCGATGCTCTCCATTTCTTCCTTCATTTTGACAATTTTACGTCCTACAAAAATTAACCATGATATACTCAGTCTCGAATTCATATTCACATCACACCGAAGGTACTTTGCAAAAAGACGAGATATCAGTTAACACATATTACAGAGAGATGATATATTAACCTCCCCTCTCGTAGCTGATCCTCATTATTACAGTCGAATATAGCAACCACCCCAAGTATGGCAGAAACAAAAAGCGATTAATTTTGCCATTGCACAAGCCTTAGCAAGGCTTAGAACTGATTTGGTTTGGAAAATCAAGCCAGTTCTAAGCCCCAATCCAAAATAGCCCTTTTTTTTGCAAGCTTTCTTCTTTTTTGAGAAGAATTGTATCGTCACCGAGAGTATCAGCTTTTGAAAATGATTAATTAATTAATTAACATATTGTTTGATTAATGTATTAAAAACAAGCAGTTGATCATATGACCTGCACATGGGTATGTATCTTTCCAAGTTTCAAGAAAGCTGCTCCAATTCTCAATAGCATCTTTGATATGATATTCCAACCAGTAAAACGTTCTAGTAATGTCTCCTGAGAATGAGCAAATTATCTTTGTTTGTAAACAAAATAAGAAAGATTAAATGGTAAATTTTAAGCTCGGTAAAGAAATAAGAAAAGAGGTTTTTTTTCGTCTTGTCACTTGCGCGGGACAAGGGAAAAACTCTAAAGTTTCCAATCTCGCAGTTTCCGTGCTCAAGGTACATGAAGAGTCTCTTTTTCTCAGTGGTAGAGAGCGAAAGCTCGGAATTGGAAGGCATCAAACTCGATTCCTCTTTTCCCACGCTCGTAACGAGAAGAAAAAAATCTATCTCTATTGCTTTTGTTGTTAAACACATGCCTCTCTTCATTGTCCTGGCCAAAGACAAAAGCGTTTTTCTTGACAAATTAAGACAAGATATAGGGTATTTTTTCCTCCATTTGAGAGGCAATAAATCCTATTTAAGTCTTCATTCGTCCCTTACGTGTATGGAAGATAAGAGAGGGACTCGTTGCCTGAAAACCAATTATGCTGAAAGCGACCTTTTGACATGCAGGAGGACGAATGGGAAAAACATTAGCTTCCAAAATTTTTTGGCACCTTGTCAGCTTTCAATATTTAACCAACTTTATCTATGATCAGCCACTTACGAATAGACAAATAGATTTACAGTACAATACAAAAGTGCATTTGGAAAAGTCAAGTAGTAATCCGTTCGACACGGGGCGTTTTTAAATGAGGCTATGAGTTGCAGATCATAGCCTCTCGTAAAAGTCGACTTCGACCATAGCCACCGGAAGCTAAAGAAAAAAAAGTCATCTTTAAGCCTTCACGTGTTGGCCAAAAGTCAGAGAGATCTTACTGACTTGATAAGTACTTTCTGTACTTTAAAAGCCTTCCCTTTGCGCTAAGAATGAAATCGGTTGGTTCTGAGGGTGCGAAAAGCCTTCCTTCACTAGATGGAGACAGATTACATCACAGGTTACGATAATGCATCAAATGTTGCAGAGGAGGAGGATTGCGTCTGTTGTTAATTTTTCGTTGGTGATGTACCTTCATATCTGCACTACACTTTGTTGAGTTTTCGCACCCAACTATCATCGAAGTAAAGGGGCAGCGATACAACGATCATAACTTTTCTCCTAAACTCTGACAAGAATCTTAACACGAATGCAAGGTTACTTTGACTAGCTTTTATGGTTAAAAGAACCCAAGGGAGGGAAATTCAGTGGTCAAAGTAGGGCCAGTGCTGGGACTCTCCAACCATTAAATATTCTATTAAGCGATATAATTTGGTAGAAACTAGTTATAGCTTTCACCTTTCTCGACTCCACATTCAGACGAGGCAGCACTCCAGGTCCCTTTTCCACTATCGCTTGATTGCGTGATTTCACTATAATTCTTCGGAAGATTTTCAACAAATAATTCGCTCTCTGGAAAAAGATCTTTTGTAGTAGCTGCGACCATGTTTTGTTCTTTCAGAAGGTCTGTATCAGAACTTGCTCGATCCTTTAATCCCCTCTTTTCTTCAAGTTTCAGCTCTGGAAAAATGTATTGAAAAAAAAAATTTATGTATGAATGAATGCAGTAGTGGGTTCTGACATCTTTACAAGAGAGCATTGAGACAGGTCCTTTATTTGAAAATCATCAAGTTCCAGAACGTATCATCATCCTAGTGATAGCTAACCGACTATGGAAGGGATCCTCATGTTATCTGGTAAATTCGATTTTTGTGCTTTACACAACTTGCATTTCGAATGAGCTTTAGAGACAATAATATCAAGTAATTTCAACTCAACACAATTTATCACATAGAGATGTTTTCGCTTTGGAGCTGTGGATGTGTTTTGGACAATTGGTTTTCTACAAGTCGTTGCTACGTAGAGAGAAAGAACAATCCGTTGAACGTTTCGATAGATCACCAGCGATTACTCTCTCTCAGCCCGCTCTGTCTGGTGACTTAAAAGACACAGAACAATTTGATGGTTCACATAAATTTTTTTACTCGCAGGGCAGGCCAGCCCCATAAAGAGAAATTAATCCAACTTCAACTTCGGCTGATAAGTAAAAGAAGAAAATTCTTTCATCTAAGAACGGAAGCATTTTCAGTTTTGTGACGCGTTTTAATCAATCGAATGAAAGGAAAAAAAATGGACTTCTTTCCAGGTTATAATTTCTTACATCACTACTACCTGAAGTCCTTCATCCCAATTTTGGAAACAAAAAGAGACACCTTTACTTGATCGCGCACAAGAAGCCATAATTGACTGATTTTTTAAAGAAAAATTACCTTCTGTTTCTGGTACCATTAATTCCAACACAGCATTACTGTATTCATCTTCGTCGATGTGCACAGTCAACGAAACTTCACCACCTGCCAGCTGCTTTATTTCCTCAGTAACAAGAAACTCTTGTAAATTTTTCTGAAGCGTTTCGTCTTGATAACTTCGCCATAGTTCATCAAGGGCAGAAATAGTTTCTGCTTGAATCGTAAATCGGGTCGATCCTTCACTAAGTGCTCGTAAGAAAGTTCCAATTGGAAGAACAGCTTCTTTGAAAGCATTGACAAATGCTTCCACACTGGTACTCCTGCGAAGGACCATCCATGTAGTGACGACCACAGCACCACCAGTAAGATTGCGGAAAGTACAGTGAGGTGTGACAACTGTAAAAAGTGTAGAAATCATAGGGTTTGCATTAGCCGCTTGTGGAACTGACCCAAAAAGTAGGGCTAAGAAAAGAAACAAACGTTGGGGAAGAGTGAATTGTTATCTTTGAAATTCTTACCTCCTATTACTCTTTCTCCAATGTTTATTCCACCAGCAAGAACAAAAGCGGTCTGAACTGGAATGTGAAATAAATCGATCTTTGGATTAATAAATATACAATAGTTTCATCAGGGAAAGAAATATTGAGCATTGATCTGCTAAAATACTTCACTTCGCAAACTTTTCATGTCCCTGGCTTAGATTAACGGTCACCAAGGCCATTTGATCATTGATAAATTAGCTCTTTAACCCCTGGTGATGACTAGGAGCTAATTTCCAACTAGGGCATCACTACTGAATCAATTATTTGGCCAATAAATTAAGTAAATAATCTTAAACTTGATAAGCTCTTGATTTTAAAGTAAATTCCCCTTGTCAGTGCCATAGCAAATGTACAAAGAACAGAATGGAGAATATACAAGCTGATGTTAGGGTGTAAAGGGTGAACTGAGCAGCAGTGGGGTAACGCCTCGCTCCCTGCACATCTTGAACGCTACAAGAACTGTCTTTTTAGAATCAATACTTTGCGATAACTTTACATTAGCTGTTTGTTAATGTCACGTTGTGTTTTTGAGTGGATGACCAGGTTACTGTGGTGTTTTGAAAATAGAAGCGTCCATAGACGAGCTTTTAACGTAACTGAAGACAAATTTCAACAACTTATTTATTCGTTGGTTCTCTTCCCGCGGCAAACATTACGTACTGTCTGAGGAAACGTCTCCTTTAACTCTTGCCAGCGCCTCGCCGTTTTTGAAAAGAACGCAGACGAGGCCCTGGGAACGAAATTAGTATATATTCGCCTGCCATATTGTCTCAACATGTCTCACCAGCACTTTATCAATACCTTCAAGAAGGTGCAAATAAACAGGTGTAACCTCTTAAATAAAATTACAACAAACTATATAGAAATATTTCGCACATTTTTGCACTGTGTCAGCTTAAAACTATGCTAAAACTTTGAAGGAATATCGAGCAGGAAAGCAATACCTAGGAAACTGGTAGAGTGACCATCATCGATCAGTGTGTGGTCGAGGGTTTAAATTTTCCCTCCATGTAAGTGAAAGTGACTACCCACTCGTATTAGCAACATAGTCCCAAATCACATCTTCGCAAGCTTAGTTTCTGACTTCACAGTTCCCGACATTTCCTCAGACAGTCGATTGAAAAGACACTACACTGAAGTCTGGCAACTTCACTAACTCAAAAACCTAGAATTCCATTCGCCATGTTCGATTTCAAATCCAAAAGTTTGGTCAAATAAATTTGATTAACTGTTTAGGAGAAGGAAGAATTCGGTTAGAAATTGTTCCTTACCTCGTACTCTTCGCATGTTGTCTTCCCATTCTTTCCTCTCCCGCTCGGCATCTTCTTCCTGTTTTCTCCTCTTCTCAAACTCCTCAAGTAGTCTGCACAGATCTGGTTTCTTCATCTCGTTTGCTAAGGTTTTCAGGAGAGTGAGGTCTTCTATCCCTAAATTATTCTGTTGTTCTAACACTGTGAACAACGCATTCACGTCTACGATATCTTCTTCGCTTTCGCGAGCTATCAGATATTTTCCTCTGCAGATTGAAATGAGTCGTTGCAGTTCATTGGACTTGTCGAATGTGCGACTTATCTTCTCCAGTAATTGTCTGTACTCCTTTCTCTTAATTTCAAATCGCTCTACTGTGCGAAGAAGATCCCACTTTCTTATCCCCTTCAATAGTTCCTTCATTACATTAAGACGATCAATTCCAAGAATATTCTCCTCCTCCAGCGTAGTAAGTAACGAATTAATGTCAGTGATACGTTCTTCCGAGCCGTCAGGAAGGAAAGCTCTGAGGATAAATATCAACTTTGTTCGTTGAGTTTGCCAATCGATTTCCTCGCTAAACTGATACAGAAAAACTCGGTATTCGACAACAGACATAGCTGTAAGCAGAAGGAACGAGAATTCTTTTGAGAAAATCAGTGATTATTAAGACAAAGTCGCGTTTTGCTCGTCAACATGGCTGGTCGACTTCTCTTGTTGCTGTTATGGTTGCGCACAGTGATTATGCTAATTTATTCGATATTTACCTAATCTTGACGAGATTGATTCGCCACAATGGGGCTTGTAGAGGTTAATCTGATACAGTAGAGTACCGTATTTGACAACAAACTAAGCTGTTGGTAGGATGGAAAGAAGTTACTAGCAGCCAGTTTTCTAATTACTTTTGAGGTGGTTTAATAAACTGACTCGATAGTCTCACAATCTCTGATGAGTCTAACCGCAATTTAAGGTCAGGGTCTAAAGGTTAAGATCATTCTTTGAATTTATTTCAAATCCTAAAAAAAAGGTTTTTTTCTCGACTCTTCATTGACCAATTGATATATTTCACAAAAATTAGCTTATTTTTTTTTTAATTAAAGGGAAACATAAAAACAAAGCTGATCAACCTGTTGTCCACTTTTAAAGCTAGATTAAGAAGTTGTTCATACGGAGTGGGGACAGTCAATCAATCAATCAATCAATCAATCAATCAATCTGCTGTGTTCACAATCTTGTATATTCGTCGAGAATGCATGCTCCCATTCATGTGAGTAATTTATTTAGCATTCGATCATTTCTAAACGATAACATTTAAGATATTATTTTTAACCTTTGTTGAAGAATCATTTTTCTGAAATAATGCCAGAAACGTGATAACCTTTTTCTAAAAATATCAAATCATAAAATAGATTAAAAGGCAATAGTTTAAAATTTGAAAACATTGGTTTTATATCATTTGAGGTATGACAACTTTGAAACGCTTAAAAACAATGAAATAAATAAAAGATAGAAAATTAAAATTTTTCTGACATCAGTAGTAAAAATATGTGTACATGAACAATTGAAATTTTTGCTCTAATCTCAGTTGAAATATTCTTAACAAAAACAATTGAAAACTAGAACACTCACTTTATAATGGTGTCGATAGAAAAATAGAAAACTGATAACATTGTTCTGGTATCACTTAAAAACAGCATTAACATTTGAAATTGAAAATTTTGGTCTCATCACTTCTGAAAATTAATGTCTGCAAACCTAACAAAATTAACAAACTGGTGAAACAGCTCGCGATCGCCTACGGGCACTGTACTTTTTAGAATTAGTATTTAAATTTTTGGAAGTCCTGGGGGTTAAACTGGAACCTGGCATCAAAGAGGGAGCTGCGGTTGAATGCCGTGCACCTGAGGATAGGGTTGCCACCACTAGATTAGTGTCCTGTTGGGGGGAGCCATTGTTGTTCGACGGATGCTATGGGATGGGGTGGCCATTATTGGAGAACTGGTACGGGTAGGGGGAGTTACTGATGTTGAAAGACGGGTGCTGAGGGATAAGGTGGCCATTGTTGTGGGACTGGTACTTGTAGAAGGAGAATGGGCCAGGGTTAGGATTATTGTATGAAGTTAGTTGCTTTGGGTTAGGTGGAGTTGCAGTTATTGTCGATCGAGTGCTAAGGGATGGATTTGTTATTGCAAGAAGCGGAGTGGTGAGAGTACCAACTGCCTCTTATAACAAGGTTTGACGCCTCTCGGTGGCACGAGGTGTTCACTGAACACTCCGGGACATCCGACAATCGCCACAAAGTTTTTAAGGCTCCCCTCGACCGAAATGGGAAAAACCGCAACTTCCAATAACTACATCTGTAATTATTTTCCAGATACAACTCTAGTTTGTTCGCTCATTCTCCAGAAACAAGAGTCCAGAGAAATGCCTCTAAGAAACTGAACGGGTCTAATTCAAAATAGCCCTAAGGGACGTTACGTCAAGCTAATTTCCTTTGTAGAAAGAATGTACGTCTTAAAGAAGACAACAGTAAATCGTTACCACGAGGTCTACCAATAGTCCTGGCCAAATGTTGCAACAACATATAACAGGAACAATTTAAAACACGAAACAAGAAGAGAATCAAAATAGCTTTAAAAAAAGAACCAGTAAAGCTTATTTCACCTCCATGATCGAAGGCCTAGGCCTAGTTAAGGCTAAATCCGACAAACCCTTCTTTCTACAGGTCATTGTTTTGAACTTTTAAAGTCCAGAAACTTTGTTGATTAGATAATCCAGAGAATACACAACTGATGGTCTCCCCGTTAAGTCTACCAGCTTAGGTGCAATATAACTATTTTTATAATGACCTTTGAAATGCGAAGGTTTAGGAGTGGCATTTTTAGCTTTTCCTAAGGCAAGACTCTTGTTAAAATCGACTATAACAGGGTAGGAGCTGATCCTCGCGTTTATCTAAAAAACGTTATTGCATTTTAGGTCATTGTGAGCAAATTTACAATTGTGAATATGTTATAACGCGACTGCCGTGTAAGAAGAGTGAAGGAGAGCAATACTTTCTTGCTAAAAACAACAAGAAGGTGTAGAGGATATTAAAAGTAACCCTCAGGTATACACTACTCAAGAAATATAAGAGGGATTACCCTCAGGTATACACTACCCAAGAGGGTATAGAAGAAATTAAAGATAACCCCTCAGGTATACATTACCCAAGAGGATATAAAATAGATTTAAAATAACTCTCAGATATACGCTACCCAAGAGGGTATAGAAGATAAATAAAAAGTAACCACCAAGTATACACTACTCAAGAGGGTATAAGAGAGATTAAAATTAACCCCTAGGTAAACACTCCCAAAAGGGTGTAGAAGAGATTAAAAAAAAAACCCTCAGGTAAACTCCACCCAAGAGTGTATAAGAGAGATTTAAAGGAACCCTCAGGTATACACTACCCAAGAGGGTAAAGAATAGATTAAAAATAACCGTCAGATATACAATAACCAAGAAAATAAAGAAGAGATTAGAAGTAACCTTCAGGTATACACTACCCAAGAGGGTACAGGAGAGACTTGAAATAACCCTCAGGTATACAATACCCAACAGGGTATAGAAGAGATTAAAAATAACCGTCAGATATACACTACGCAGTAGGGTATAGAGGAGATTGAAAGTAACCCTCACTACCCAAGATGGTATACGAGAGATTAAAAATAACCCCCACGGAAACACTACCAAATAGGGTATAGAAAGGACTAAAAGTAACCCTCAAATATATACTACCCAAGAGGGTGTAAGAGAGATTTAAAGTAACCCTCAGGTATACACTACCCAAGCGGGTATAAGAGGGATTAAAAGTAAACCTTCAGGTATACACTACCCAAGAGGGTTATAAGAGAGATTAAAAGTAACCCTCAGGTATACACTACCCATGAGGGTATAAGAGAGATTAAAAATAACCGTCAAATATACTATGACCAAGAAGGTATAGAGAGATTAAAAATAACTGTCAGATATACACTATCCAAGAGTGTATAGAAGAGATAAAAAGTAACCCTCAGGAATACACTACCCAAGAGTGTATGGGAGAGATTTACATAAGCACTACCCCTTGAAGAGGGCATAGTATAGATTAAAAATAACCTTCAGGTATACACTACTAAAGAGGGTATAAGAGAGACCCAAATTAACCCTATGGCAAACACTCCTAAAAGGGTGTAGAAGAGATTAGAAATAACCCTCAGTTTTACGCTACCCTAGAGGGTATAGAAGAGATTAAAAATACCCCTCAGTTTTACACTACCTAAGAGGATATAGGGGTGATTAAAAATATTCCTCAGGTAAACCCTTCTCAAGAGGGCATTGGAGAGATTGAAATTAGCCCTCAGGTACATACTCCCAAAAGGATTTAAAAAATATAAAAAATAACCCTCAGTTATACACTACCCAATTTATTATTCAAACTAAGTTTTAGTAAAACTTCACATAAATATGGATTTTCTCATGGAAGCAGCAATCAATTATGTTTAATACAAATTGTTAATTAATCCAATGTACTCATATCACAGATTTGCTATCTAATCTCAAAGAACTCTTGGATTCCACATTTCGAAATATTTATCGTTGTAAATCGACCATATTTCGTTCCCCATACTATTCCTTGTAACTAGTTCAAAATTTAAACGGTTTCTCTCGTTCCCTGAGTCACACAACGCGTGACGCTTTCATGAATTAATCGTTGGCTTTTCTGCAGACGCGAGCCCGGGCCACCTGTGATCTCATCTTCCGGGACATCATAAAGGAAAGCTTTCAAGACGAATGTCAACCGTCGTCGTTTAGTTTGCCAATCGATTTCCTCGCTAAACTGATACAATAGTTTTCGGTATGGACATATAGGGTAAGTGTAAAGTCAGTGATTTTCGATTATCAAGTCGCGCTTCACTTTTCGACACACATGTAGGTGGAGCGACTTCGGTTGCTAAAGTTATGGACAGTACTTACGTGACATAGTCCAATTGGCGTTTAGAGGTTAAGCAGGTTCTTTGTATTTATTTAATATTCTGAAAATATTTTCCAAATATTTTCCAATTTTTCATAGACCAATTGTTATATTTTCAGATTTGAAAATACACTGATTTATTCCTTTAAGTAAATTGCGCATTAGTAACTTTGTCAACTTCCAAACATCTTCTTAAGTTCAAAGGCCCAAACGTTTTTTTCCCGCCATCGTTTCGCTTAGCGCCACTTACCAGTGTCTTCTTTACCTTTTTTTTCTCAGCTACACGCCGCTGTGGAACTGCCTTTCTCTTGGAGTGAGCAATCTCTTTTTCGCCATTCTCTATTGCTAATATGGGCAACAGACAAGCGTTACCTTTTACAATACCCAAATCCTCTCTCTTTTTGATTACGGAGATGTTATATGGGGGGACAAGAACAGTGACACTATAATGTCTGAATTACAGATCCTACAGAATAAAGCTGCTAAAGTTCTGCTGGGGCACCCACCGCGAAGCTCGTCAACCGAAGCGCTGAGGAGTTTAGATCTCAAGTCACTCTCCGCAAGGAGGTTTTTTCATCGCTACATTGCAATCCACAGGTACCTGATTGGGGAAGCTGATTTGAAC